CGCGATAATATCGTTAATCACAATTTTGACCAGGATAGTCGTGAATTTTAATTTTGTCCCATGCTTCCAGAAATATACTCATAATGAGACTTCATGTGTCAAACTCTGACTGGTCGACTTCTCCTGGAGGTCTGAACCGGAGGGAAAACTTCAGAAAGTAACAACTCATCGTAACTTACCTCCCATTTCAAATAATGTTCTTGACGGAGTCTTACAATCCTGTGTGCCTGAAAGGAAAGACAGAAAGACAGACAGACAGTTACAGCCTGTTGATACGTTTGTAAAACAAATGCCAGAATTACACTTTATCAGAGTTTATCTACATCGACAGCTTGTCCTCAAACCCTCAAACCCCAGGAGAGCTGCTCCGATTCACAAACAACGTTACTGGCCAACGGTGTTTAAAGTCCTGACATTACAAACATCACTAAGGGTTGTCTGACTGTGTAATGACCGCAGGTCGATCTACTTTATTGTCAGCACATTATCAAGCTAACGCTATTTAGCTAGCTAGCTAGCAACCTCAAGTAGTTGTCCGTTAGCTTGTGCGCAACAGCAACCCGGATACATCTGGACATTATATTCACGCTTTGTTAGTTTTAAGACACAAATGTAGCTGATTTACAGGATAATTACACAATACTGATGCTTTTGTGTCATCAAATATTAATGTTGCCGACCCTGCAAACAACCACGCGAACGCTAAGGATGTTAGCTATAGCAGGATGTGGCAGCTAGCTAACGCAAGTTAACACTTTACCACGACAAAACGGCTAAAAACCGACATTAACCTCTGAGCCCGTCGGCATAACAACCGACAGGGCACGACACAATGCGTGGGTGGAAGCTGGCGGATCAATATGTTATCAATATATCAATATCTCACCGTTTTTGTAGCTGCGGGTCGACACAAATGCTAGCAGCAGATTTCACGCCGCTCGTCTGAGTTGTTAGCTCGGCTTGTTGTTAGCACCGGTGGCACCGCGGAAACACAACAGTTCACCTTTTCTTATCTCTGTTGTAATGTACTGATAAATCCACACACCGCCATCTGCTGCACCGGAGCGGACCGTCTGGGACAACACACTAAATACAGCGTTCAACTTGGTTAAAGCAGAACATTTTAACCAGAGCTTCTAGGAGAGGGAGTTTCACAGGCAGCTTCTTTCAAATAAATTAATACATTTAAACACGTTTTCTTTAGTTTATTCTTCAAAATGGGTGCCACGACAACACCTCCTGAAGTGTGTTTAGAGTCTGTACATTGCCTGTTGCGGCAACTCCACTAGCAATCTTCTTAAATTATACTCAGCATTACAAATTGTACAGTAAAATATTGTTAAATCTTCCTCAAAATAGGGAAACTGGCAGCCCTCTATATTATAATCTGTTGTTTATAATCTGCTTTTAATCTCATCGTACATGTGTACAGTGACAATAAAGGCATTCTATTCTAGTTAAAATTACTTTCTGCAGGTGTATATTTTCAGTTTTCTTTTTAATAAAGATAATCTAAGCCATTGTACACACTGGAGAGTAGGCCTTTGTATTTATAGTCCATCTAATCCTGCATGGGTTGTAATAATCATTTAACCAACACCATGTCTATTATTAAGCCGCTTCAGTTTTCCAGCCACATTTTCTCTGGAATACTTAGTTAAACCCAATGGGAAATTGCAGTGTTATGTAAATCACAAAACAGAAGAAAGAAGAAGAAGAAGAAAGATGAAAACCAAATACAAACCCCCTCTATGAATAATTAACAATCAATTATAGTAAAATAAATCTTGGGATAGAAGCTGAAAAAATAAGACTATACTCTGACTGTATTGAAGGTACATTTTACAATGATAGTGCCACAGAAATGTAGTTTTTTTTCTCAGCAAATTCCATCCTCTATCTTTGAGTATTTTCTTTCTCCTCTCATTGATGACTTTCATTTGAAACCTTGTCTATGTTTCAGGGATGAACAATTTCTCTTATCTTCTCTGTGTCCTTCAAGCTGGGCCTGAACTTTTTCAGCAAATGCTAGTTTTCTACTGTGTGGTAGCATGTGGCATCGCTTCCTTAAAAGTCAGTCACTCCTGTTCCATGTCAAGATCATATTTTAATTCACAAAATGGCAACATATTGCTGTATTACTGTAACCAAATGTCCTGAATGAAAAATAAGATGTTCAACAGCAACACAGACACAACTGAAAACAAACAGAAAACACATTTTGTTTGAAAAAGAGCACAAAAGCTGTATCAGTGGTGGAATGGTACCCCAACATTTACTCTAATATTGCCCCTTAACGCAGTACTTGAGTAAATGTTGAGTCATGTTTCAGATGTGTTAGCGGTTCTCCTAATAATCTTACATGCCACATTGTGTCCTTCAAAAATTGTTTAAGTAATTCCTTTATGCAACTCACAAAACAAACATTATATAAATGGATGATTATTTATTTTGTATATTTATTTGCTATTATGTAATGTAAGGTGGAGTGTGGAGGATGAATTGAGGCGTCTCACAGCCTGAGGAGAGAAGCAGCTGTGTAGTCTGGTGGTACAGCAGTCGATACTTCTGTATCACTTACCAGACAGCAGCAAGGTGAACAGGCTGTGGTTGGAGTGGGAGCTGCCTTTATGTATCCTTGGGGATCTGCGCAGACACCTCACAAATACCACTGATGCTGGGTAACTGAGAATCAATGATCTTCGGATCGGTTTTAATTACTTAAAGGAGTCCTCCTGTACTGGGCCCTGCACATGCCATGATGCCAATTTGTGCTGTTTTTAGTCAGGATGTTTTCTATCACTTCTCTGTAAAGTAAACTAGAATCTGGCACAAAATTTCCTTGAGAAAAACAGCAATTTCTGTGCTTTCTTTATCAGGGCAGAGATGCTCTAGCTGTGATGCTGAGACCCAGGAACCTTTAACTGTTCACCTGCTCCACTGATGCAAACATATCTTTGCCTATGGTCTCGTTGTTTGAAATCCGGCCGGTGATGATGGTGTTGTTCGTAAACTTCACAAGATAGCTCTGTCCATGACGGTGGATGCAGTCATGGGTATACAGCGTAAACAGGAGGGGGCTGTGCACACTGCCCTGAGGGGCTCCGGTTCCGAGCACCAGAGTAGAGGAGGTGTGACTACCAATCCGAACTGTCTAGGGTCTGTTTGTGAACTACTTAACTGTATATAAAACTTCACCTTCAGTATTAATAATGTTCTGCATCATATCAATCACTAGTGGCTGATTTTCTGCAAAACAAGTTCTACTTTAAATAGTTTAGTTACATTTAGCTAAAAATACTTCTATACTTTTTGTACCGTATGATTTTATATGCAGAACCTTTACCTGGTGGATGGTTTTACATTGCTGTATTAGTACATTCACTTATTTTCAAGAGGTTTTATTTACTAGAACTGCAAATATCCAATTATTATGTAAAAGAAACAATCCTTCGCCTAAATAGTGAGCCAAATGTATGTCATTTTACATCAAATGCATTGCTAGCGCAGAAACAGACAGTATATCATTTAGTTGTTACTTTCATGTTGACAGGAAATACAAAATTCATGCAGTTTGACCTTAAAAACAGAAAGCAGTTACAGGCTGCCATTTAGTGATTACTGTGTAGGGAAGTAAATCAACAGAGCAGCAGGGTTATTGCTCAACAGGAGAAAACACCACAAACGACCCCTTGTAAGTGTTCAGGTGGGTGGTTAGATACTACACTTCCTGCATGGAGACACATTCAAGAAGTAGTGTTGAGCAGGGGAAGAGGTGTGAATTAACAGAAGTCTTTGTACTTCTCTGACCCTGAATCTAATCTCTCGCTCCTCACATTGCAAAATGAAACACAAGACAAGGAAAAATGCTTATTTAATCTCTCTTTACTCTGTATTGGAAGTGGAAATTAGCATACGCTAACAGTGATTTATGTGTTTCACCTGTTAATTACTATGTTATGTCACCACACTGGTCTTGTATCTAATACATGGAGTACAGTTTGAAGTCAGGTGCAGGTGTCTTTGTTTTGAAGCATCCTCTTTAGTGAACCGAACTGTTGCATCACATGTTTTGTTTGTAGTAATTGTTTAGTCGTGTCACTCCCTAAGATGTTTGGATAGGGACCCTTACTGTGAGCAGTCACATTAGCTATTTACTCATAACTCAAAGTTTGATTAATGATTGCCTGACATGATAGGTTAAATTGCTATGTACTCGACCTCCTTGTAACTAGTGCCAGATAATGTAATGAAGAATAATAACCCTCATTAGCAGCAGAGGTTTCAGTGAAAGGACTACCCCATGAATGAGAGTTGTCTCAGTTTCAACTTTGGCCGTTGTGTTTTGTTGACGTTGGCTTTACTTCCTCATTGTTTGGGATTCTGCTGCATGTGTAAAAATAATAACTTCCTTCCTAACCTTAAAAAAAAAAAAAAAAAATACCTAATATATATATATATATATATATATATATATATACATTCCAAAATTATTTAAATTGTAACTTTTACTGTGGCCACAAACTGTGTTTACACATTGGATGAATGTGATGAAATGTGCAAATGACCATGAAGCATTTTCATTACACCAAATAAGTGTTTTCTGTGTTACATGGGCTAAGCATGAACACATACACTCAGTTGCTAGTTTATTAAGTATACCTAACTAAAACTAATGCAGTCTTAAACAACAATCTTGCAATAAGTTCTACTTTCATGAATGTTGAAATGTTCAGCTTTTGTTGAAACTGTTTTAGAGAGGTGTAGGCATGTCTCTGTAGAGATCCAAATATAATACATCATATAATACAAGCTGGTAAAATTAGTCATGACATTGTTTGAGAGGGTCTCCAAACAGAACATTAGGTTTATGTTTCTTTGTCTTTTTATTTGTAACAAAGTGCAGTTAAATGAAATATTGTTTCTTTTAGGACCAGAATATAAACTGACAAAATGTCAGAGACCAAACATAAAAGCATCAAAACAAAATGAGCCGCACATCTGGAAGTCTTGCACTTTTTTATTCATACTGTGTTCATGCATGAGAGAAATCCACTGCTGAGGCTACTAAACAACCAAACTCCCACAATAGTGGATGGGGATAGAAATCATCTTCAGAAATAAATACAGACATTTTATATCTAAAAAAAACCCCTCAGCATGCCTTTTTACCTTTCCAAATATATATATGTATATATATGTGTGTGTGTGTGTGTGTGTGGTTTCACCACAGTTCGTGGTGGAATAAGTACGTTTATCTACATTTGTAGTGCACACTAGAATACTCAGTCACTTCATACTTTAAATAATATTGCCTTTATTTGAAAGCTATACAAAACTTAACTTATTAGCATTATTATAGATTAGACTACCCAACGGTACCTATTCAGAGTTTGAAATTAACTCCACTTCAATTAACTGCAACATTAAATGCTTCTTCCACACAATTATAATCAAATACTAAAATGTATGATAAGGTACTGTAACACTTTAAGTACATAATACATCTGTACTTGTTGTATTGTGACTTTAACTTCAGTAAACTATCTTTACAATATGATTAATATCATGAGATGATAACTAATTCTGAAGAAGCCATTATGACTGATTATCTAATAAAATACAACAAGATAAAGAAATACAGTCATTTAAGGTTCAAGTTGAAATGAAAAAATATTCCTCCTGTTTGTCACTGTTCCTGTGTTTGTCTTCATCAGCCGCAGCAAAGAATCATTTATTTAGGGTCCTTGGCAGATACAGCAGCATAGGACTCTTGCTTCGGGGGGCAAAAGTTCAGGGATAAAAGGGATCACTCAGGAGATTACTCCCATGTACGTAACACGGATGCCTAGAACACAAACAAAGAGCATTATGTTGCAGTGCGCATGTTTGTGTGTGACCAAGTGTTTCTCTAACCTTATCCTCACCACTTGTCTTTTATATCACCAAATGAAGAGTTAAGCCCAGCTTGTTTTCTTTGTACATACTCCCCTGCTGCCATAGGACTCTCCTTTTAGCTGTTTAAATGAAACATCTTTTTTTTTTTTTCGTGCCTCCACTCAGGGCAGTGTTTTTCAATCAGATTAGTACAGCACATTCTGTTCTGTTTCACTTCCTGATGACTGTGCAGCCTGTATCCCTGAATGAACTCACCCGCGTGCTTCTGGTTACACCAAGACACTCATTCAGACAGACGTATTCTCGCAAATGCTTGACGGATTTTAGTATTCCATACAATATATAGTAAATGTGTTATCTAATTATCAAGAAGCCCTACTGTTTATTGGTTTATTTTAACAAAGATTATAAGACTTTTTAGTGAATGCTGAGCAACTCTTTCTCACTCAGAGCAGTGAGAGGCTCTAAAGCTCAAAAATCTGAGTGATAAATCTATATAAATATTTTTATTACATTTAAATTAAACACCTACGAGCAGTTTATTTAAGCGCCAAATTTTTCCTGTTTCCTATGAGGTTTCTGCTTTCACTAGAACAGAAACAAGATGTTCATGGTGTTTCAGGAAGGAAGACAGCATCTCAGGCCATGTGTCAATATAGAAATCTATTCAAGCATTTCGGTTCAGCTCAGGTCAGCTGAGTTCATTTTTGACTTACTTATGCACACAAGACGAGGGGGAAGTGCCAACAAAGCTACCAGGACACCGCAGTCCAGACGAGGGTTTGGGAAAACAAACAAATATCTGCTGGAGTCAACTGCCTTGATGAGACTTTTAAAAAATGATCCATGTATTTACTGTTAATCGCTTCAGGTAGGTGGTTGTATTATTGATCTCATCTGATTCTCTACTATGTTCTGCTTTTTAATAAAATGTACTAAATGTACTCGAGAGTGTGTGAAACCTACGTTCTTCCTATAACTGATTGCTCAGAAGATTACTCAGCCATTTGACAACATCCATGTGGGTTTGCAGAATCAGGTTCACTTGTGTTATGTCACCTTTATAATTAACAGGATCATCATGTTCCCTTCAATAGCTGCCTGGCTGTCTGCCAGCAGTGTGGTCAGACTGTCCTCACCACCTCTGACTGTGGGATTTGCCCACCAGAAACCTGCAATAAGGGTTTAACTATCTGAGCATGTCACTTCAAGCAATAAGGCATACAGTTTCAGCTCTCTCACATAAACAACTCTTCTTGGCTCACTTATTGTCAAACATATATTCACTACAAGAATTGATGCCATATTTTTTTTTAAAAACATTTAAAAGCTAAAATACGACATTTAAGTCCAAGCCATGAAACATGCTGTATTGCAAACATCCTGTATGGACATAATAATATACCAGCACCCTCAGACCGCAAAAGCAGCAAAGCAGAGCCATAAAAATCTTTTATAACTTTTATGGGAATTTCAGCTGCTCTTATACCCCCCACACACACACACACCTCCCATCTCCCACCCATGATGTATATCAACTCTGTATGCAACCATTAACAAAATGCTTGTTATTTTAAACACAAAGGCAGATAAACATGCCCTTTTTCCCCCTACTACTAATAATTCATTTGCATTCGGTCCACAGTCTTATTACTGGCTGTACAAAGTCTGTATTTAAATACAATACATGTACAAGTTTTGTGGAATCAGAGCTAATTTATTGATTTACTTACAGCATAATTATCAAAATCACATCTGAATATGTCCCTGATATATAGTAAACCCTGATGAGATGACATACACCACCTTTTACAGATTGTGATGCACATATAGTCATATCATGATCACAGCCAACCATGTTAATGTTCTATAATTTAAAATATTTTTTTTTCACAGAATGTGGTTAAAAGCTAATCTTTTGTCAATCCTGAATATTTGCTGTATTTTCCAAACTGAGACAACAACTCCCACAACTCAAAGCTGCTGTACTCCCTTCCACTCACTGTCTCATGTCTTCCTCTATCCTTCCTTTGTCTTTTTGAATTCTTCACTCCATGTGTTAACTACACTGGCATGTACTGGCAACGTGCCAGTGTAGTTAATATATAAATAAACAGAATATAAATAAGCAGATGCATTGAAATGAAACAACCCTCAGGGCATAATAGGTGATTTTAAAATATGTTCCAAACCTGCTGAGTGGATCTAAACCTGGCAAATGTCCAATGGTTTCTGTTCTTACAGAATAATAAAGCTGCCATTATAGCACTTTTGTACTGTAAGTCAATAAAGGAGGAGTCATCTTTTTAGGAAACTGAATACAAGTTAAACACAAACTTTTACAACTGGTCACATGGGAGAATGTGTTAGTTGGGATGTAATTAAACACTGTTGCATTTAAGTTTAGAGATATTGGTTCTTTAATATTTCCATTACATTTGAGATTAATTTATATATGCTATGCTACATTGTATTACCCTGATAACTGTGGTATTTCTTTGCAGATTAATATTTGACTTGTAAAACAAGAGCTCATAAAATGTGATGCATTGTACTTTCTAACATTACATAAGGTAACTGCAGCACCTGACCCAGGTTTATAACTTTAAGTTGTCATCTGACACAATGACAGAGACTCTACTTACTATGTCACTTAGGTGCTTTTACTTTGGATATTTAATTATATTTTAATACTTTTTACACATTTTATTGGTCTCATGGAAAACTCCAGTTAGGTTACTAGAAGAGTGGATTGTTTTGCTGCAAAAAAGCGGTAGTCTACTTATTTTGTTACAGATTTGACTTGCATAACAAGAGCTCATAAAATATGATGTATTACTTTTAAACATTACAAGAAATGATTACAAACAACACCACCTGTATCTGGTTTTATTACTTTACCTTTATCATCACTTTGACAGTGAGTAGTTTCACTTCATGTATTCACCTGGATACTGATCAGACAGAAAACCTAAGGCTGCAGGTTAGGTAGGAAGTGAACACAAGATTAAAATATTGGAAAGTTTACTGAAAAATAGCTGCACTGTTCTATTCTTTGCAGATTAAGATCTGAACTGCAAAACAAGTGCTCATAAAATACAATGTATTACCTTTTTCAAGAAGTTATTATACATAACTACACCTGGACCAAGTTTATTACTTTGACAGGGACTACCCTTCACAGTGAGAAGCCTACTTTTAATGTCAGCATTTACTTGTACTTGAATATACCTAATTTTGGGTATAACATGTCAGGTAGCCTAATTAAACATGGCTCATTTCTTATGGCCAACAGTTTTCACATAGTGCTATAAAATATGATAACCATCCAGTACCACTTCCTGGCCGTTGATATGTTGCTTAATGAAGTTATAGCTAACCTAAATAACCTAATTACTAAAAAGTCGTATAATTGTCAACTCTATAGTTTAAGTTACATCTTTACATTACACTTGCTTCCGAAGATCACCAGATTGCTAACGTTAACCATCGGCCAATGCGTTAAGCTAATGTTAGCGTATTGATTTTACACCAACGTTGGTTGATGTTAACGTCCGAATTAAAACGGTGTGTAAAACAAGAAAATTACAATACAATAAAGCTGATGTCATGTCTTGGAACAGTACCTCTAAGCAATAGCTTAGCTTATTTATTTTACAATTGTTTAAATTATTTAGCACTAACATGTTGTGGAGATTAGCTGAAAGCTAACGTCATGAATTTTGGGCATCACCTGGTAACTTTAGCAGAGTTACAGAGGTTAGCTTCATGCGATGAAACAAAATTGTTAAATATTTTAAAAAAGACTAAATTTCATGGATTAATGCTAATTCTAATAATTAAAATAATTATGTTTTACTTATTCTTGCCTCTTTATTGTGATTAAATGCAAATTTTTTCATATGAGTCACCCTGCACCAAACGTTTACTTTTAAGCACCATTGCTTGTAGATATGGTGATGATGTTGGAGTCCTAGAACAGTAATACAATAATTCCCAGGGCTGTGTCCACTGATCACGCTGTCTGCCTCTGCACAGACTGTGTAGTAACCCCAGCCTTCAAGACTAAGAAGCTCAATGTCCCTGTTAGGTTAGGAGAGCCCTCCTGCAGTCTAGTGAGGGTTTAGTATTTACTTGTACTTAATACTCCTAAAATGGAAAACTTAATTAGGTTACTGTAACAGTTTAAGTAGGAGGTAACCAAGTTTTGATATGGGCTACTTACTGCAAAACAGCTATGCTATTTTCTTTGGAGATGAGGATTTGACTTGCAAAACAAAAACTCATAAAACATCATGTAGCTATCATACTTCCTAAAATGCAAAGAAATAATTACACACAACACTACTTGAACCTTCTTGGTAAGTAATTAGATTTTTAATCCTTAAATGTATATATATATATATATATATATATATATATATATATATATATATATATATTACCACTAAGTAGCCTTTGTTTACATTTATTTTTGTCCAAAAAGTATAACTTGCACTTGTTTATGTAATAATACTTTAACATAAAGGATTTGAATACTTGCTTCAACCTCTGTAAACAGTAATGTTAACATTTGATGAGAATGATCTCCACCCAGTAAAAGTCACAATAAAACAAAATATCACCAGGCAGTAAAAAATAAATAATAATAGTTATCTAAAATATATAGGCCTATATATATATACATATATGTATGTATGCGTGCTACTTGGCGAAATCCCTACCTTCACACAAGTTATAGAAACGCTACAGCGATTGTACTTAAAAGAATACAAAAAAAATATCCGGTAAACAAGAAATATAAAATAAAAAAAAACAAGATGTCTTTAACAGAAACAGTAATCCGTCTCACCGCGCGTCTTATCGGGCAGTGTGATGCTTATTTATTTCGGTGCTTACACATCCCCCGTCTGTACTCGGCTATTACACAGCAGTGTTGATGATATGTGTTGTCAGCTGAGCGGAGAGAGAACAGCCTGCTGCGGTACAGGCTGTTCCCGGACTGGCTCGGCACGGAACGGGTTACAGGTCAGGGTGTCTATTGGAACACAGTGTTCTCGTCAGCAGCGGCAGCGGTACAGCTACAGTACAGCCGGAACATTGTGTTACTTTGTGGCTGCTTTCCAAAGACCTGCCCCTTAATTTTACACTAAAGGCCCTCCCACAACTCTACTCCATTCTACTCTCACTCTCTCTCTTTTCTCTCTCGCCGTGTGTCTCTGCCTCTCTCCCTCACCCGGTGTCATTTTGAAGTCTTAGATCCATGTGGCTACTTCACCGGCACGTTCACCGTCACTAGAGGGGACAGGGATAAAGAGGGGAGGAGGGAGAGGGAGGGGAGAGGGGAGGAAAAAAAAACAGCGCTACATAGTAACCGCATGGGCAGAACATTTAGTACCCTGGATGTGAGATGAGAGGGGCGGGCTTGAGTTAGGAGGAATAGACGCGGTTTTAAAAATCTACCGACTGAAAATCAGATTGGATCGCCGGCCGCTTCTGGGAAAAGACAGAAAGAAAAAAAAAACCCCAAAAAACAAAGAACAAAAAACAAAACAAAGGAGCGCAAGGAAATGTGAGTCTTTTAATTTATTTCATCTGTCTCGCAGCTGAAAGACTTAATTAAGGAGTCAATTAAGATGTAATGTTTACCGGCTTTCTAGTGCTTTCTGTTCACGCCTGGCCGAGTTAAAGGGACACTTGTTATGCATGATAAATATTTATCATTTATCTAGAGATTTTTTAAAATAACCCACACACACCAAATCGAGTCTTTTAAAAACCTTTAATGATTATAAAAAAACAAAAAAACAAACAAACAAGAAGTCCAGTTGAGGTCCCATTATAAGAGGATGGATGTTGAATTTGCCACACGTGTGGGGGCATTTGAGGTTACAGCTGTATCCAAGTGTGCTCTGGAAAATAAGGGCTGATAAGACACCCTGTGTATGTGTGTTTATGGGCGAGAGTGTGTGTGAATGTGGCACCCGGCTGTGGTTCCCAGTAGAGGTATATGAGGACAACAGTTTATATCCAGAATCCCTTTAGGGTTAGGTGTATCTTCACAAATTACAGGTTTGTCTAACCTTGTTTCTGAGAATTAGTAACATTAAGTCTAGTTCAGTCTGTGCTGATTCATATTCATTTAGGACCAAGTTGTGCATTATAGGACATAATGGTAGCCTCTGAATTACTTTAAATATGTGGATGTTATCATATTTAGATTTAGATGAGGAGGTGAGATAGAGGCAGAGTTGGCCTGCTGACATGGACACGGGTTGAGGCAAAGTCCCAGAGATGAATCAAACTGCTTTAGGGGATATTTAATGAAGATAAATAACTTTTTGTCCAAATACGCAAAGATATGTGAAGGGTGATGCATTCTCTGCCATTACGTTATAAAAATAGCAGAATTCAAATGTTTGCACTGTCATTTCACATCCAAAGTACCTACACCACATCTGTGGCCACTGTAGCAGATTTTCCAAAAAGTCCTTAAATGTCCTTAAAAACAAATGAACAAGCTTTTTTGTTTGAGTAAATGAGTCTCCCATATCAGACAATACTGTTCTTCTGGGTTGTAAATCTACCGGTCTGTCATGCACAGTGTGTACTCACACGTTCATATATGAATCAGCAGCAGAGTACGGATGTGAGACAGAATGTACAGAGACACTGTGTGCGTCTGTGGATGTGGTCTTTGCCTCATTGTCTTCTGTTCCTGCATTCCTCTGCAGGATATCTGAGTTTTAAAGTACATGTAGTCTACATGCCATTTTATCTGTGTGCTCACTGTTTGCAGTTGGTTTAACCATTCAGCTATTCATAAAAATAACATTTTTCATGCTGGAAAAGCAAAAAGTTAAACAATGAAATTGATGGAATGAATAACTTTTAATTATGTGAACGTGTTGATGATGGTAATTCATAACACTATTGCTATTAATTGACATTTAAATGTAAATGTAAATGTAACCGATAGTCAATTTAAATAATTAAAATTTGCTTATTTTCATGAGAAAACTGAAGCTGGGTGGTACGTGAGGGGGTCTCAGATTGGTGAACACCATCAGGCTTTGCCAGCAGGGAACTGTGAATAGAAGGAACATTGTGTTCAGACACACACACACACACACACACACATATGCACCCACTCACATACGTAAGTTACATCTAAATGAAATCCATGACATTTAAAAGACACAGGACAAGGTGTTGCGACAGAGGAGATGGACATTTTGTGCTGCGCTTGTGTTGAATTTAGTGAACAAACACTTGATCTTTGAAAATGACACAGAACTGAAGAAGCAGAACAGAAGCCCATGGGTCGGCACCACGGCTTGACTGCTCCTAAGATCTTTCTCACATTAAGAAAACAAGTTCAAATCTATTTCTTGATCAATATCCAATACAGTGAGCTTATTGCCCAGTTAGTGCCTCTCGGGCCAAGCTCTGTTGCTTAATTTTCTTACGAGAACTTAGTCACCACGGGTGAATATCCAAATATTTAATATTTAAAGAAAGGACAACTGGTGGAAAAAACGAGAAAACTGATGTAGAGAATGAGAGCTGCCACCCCCACCTCTCCAAACACGCTGCCCTTGAACAAAGTTTATAGCCTTAAAGCCTCTCTGTGGAAATATGAAGTGTCCACAAGAGTGCTGTCTGATCAGCACCCTGCAGTAAATATGAACACGAATTTACTCAGATTGGCAAGTTAAATATGATTTATAACCTCATCTTATCCTAATGCTACATGACATCCAGTGCGGGGGGTCGAATGATGGGTGAGAGCTACACTAAGGTGTGGTGTGATTTTTCAGGTGAGAGTTTTGACTCCAAAATCAGTGAGATTACGTCTTATCTTTATTTATACACTTCTTCTTATAAACGCAGACGACACAAGCAAACACAAAACACAGTCTCGCGAGAAGGCGGAAAACACTTGTGTCAGTCATCTGTTTTTTCATCGTAGATGTTACATTTTCATTTGTAACCGTTACTTCACAACTCTGGCCACATTAGTAACATCCCAACGCAGTCCAGGAACAGCTGTGAACTGGTTGCTACTCGAGCAAGTGCTAATGTCTGCTGTTTTATGTGATAGTAAGCGCTAAATAGTGTTTGCCAACATGCTTAACATAGCTAACTAGCCTTTTCATTGTCTTCAAACAATGTCAATATTATTCTGCTAGGGCAGACTGAGAGAAATGCTTGCAGCCATGTTGAGGTTGAGGTAGTAACAATGCTCGTTGACGACGGGTGCTCCTGATGAGAGAGGCAACATTTAGCAGCTGGCACACCAATAGGTCATTACAGTTTTATTGCCCTGGCAAAGCTGCTGGTATCTTTTTTTTACCACATGAGACGGCATCTATCTATCTATCTATCTATCTATCTATCTATCTATCTATCTATCTATCTATCTATCTATCTATCTGCTCCATTAGTTTTTAAGGTTATTTTATGATTGCTTTGTTTTGAAGAAAGAGTAAAATAACTCTGTCTGATTGGTTTGATAACATTTCTGTGAGAAAATAAAAGAAATGCAAGAAAACAAAATATAAAAAATGTTTTTGACAGTATTCCTTGATATCATTGATGTGAGGACATACTGCACATTATTTGAGATGAATATTGGTGCTATCAAAAGAAAAAAAAACATCTTAAGAAGGGATTGAAAATAGTTGATGATGGCCATGAAAGTAGAGGTTAAAAACTGTAAAAAAACAAACAAAAAAAGTATTACTTAACAGTGACAGAGCCGAGAAGACCCAAAAGAGACACAATTTCAGATATACCACAACATCATATGTCAAAACCAGACAATACGTAGCCTCATACTCTGATAAGATACTGTATCAGTGTATCACTTCTGAGTTGAAGAGTCGTGATCAAATACAGGATTTTTACCTGCCCTATCACAAACGCTGAGAGAGATGACTGTTACTTGTGATGGCACAGCGTTATCAGTACATTGTGTGTGAGGGTTGTCGAGCCCACACTTTTCCTGTGCATGTGAGGAAGAAGACCAAAATACTCATTACAAAATTAACAGTGAAAATATCTAAATGAGGTTCTGTCGTACTGCAGATTTAATTTTGGTTTCTGTAAGACATGTGGATGTTATTTATAGACTGACAAAGAGCACAAAGGGGGCCATAAACTAATAGCCTGGAACGTACTGTACTTTGGTGAGTGCAGTGCGTGTTACAAAATAAAATGACTGAGCAACACGCTGTTGCCTTTAACATATTTATAGTCATGTAATTACTTCATCTGTGGTGGATCAGACAAGAAGCGGTACAGTTGAGTGATATTACAACTGTAATGTTCTTCATACAGCTGGGGTTAGTGTTAATGTCTTTTGTAGTAAAACTACATACATTTCCTAATTCATATCCAGTACAGTACATGGATTTAGAACATGTGCCCTTAAATAGACACAATTTATGTAATGTGGAGGAAAACATTTTCTGGGTTTATTATGGAGATCTTGTATTGATATTTTTGCCAGAGATTGTGATTTTCCAGTCCAGCTCCACAAATTAGATTCTTGTGCCATTTTCTTTGCTGAAAGTTTGTCTCAAAGTGAAAACATGAGACATGAGGACATGTTGTTTATGGTACTCAGATTGCTAATACGTAGGCTTGTGTGTTCATCATTTCTACAGTGTTACTGTGTGATGCTCACACGCAGAAATGACCACTGATCAAGATTTGCCTATGGATGGCCAGCCAGCCACAGCTGTGTTTGCTGCGAAAGGCATCGATGTAACACCCATTAAAGACCAAGGAGTTATTAAGGTATTTCATTTTTACATTTTACTGTAGGCGTTCAGGCACGAGTTAGACTCATTGTTTCACCATATGGCATGGTGGCTGTTCTTTCTGGATCTCACACAGCTTTTATCTCTTCTACATTCTCTGTCACAAAGAAAGGGTTTCTCAGTTGAACTTAAGGCTTGTCTTTCCTGTCCGCAGGTTGTGAAGCATCAGGGGGTAGATAAAGAGCGGCCAATGATTGGAGACAGAGTGACTGTCCACTACACTGGGAGGCTGCTCAGTGGGAAGAAGTTTGACTGCAGTCGAGATCGCAAAGAGCCTTTTTGCTTCAATGTGGGCAA